CCCCAAAACCCCAAAACCCCAAAACCCCGGATTTTGGGGTAGAAATTGAAATGATTTTTAGGATATTAGGTGTATTGTGGGTTAATAGTGGGGTTTTGGGGGTTGTTGGGGGTTTAGGAGGTGATTTTTTGGTATAGGATGGGGGTTATGTTACAGAATATCTCTGCAGAGATGGTAGGTGAGGAAGAGTTTATGGGTATGAGAGAAATGGTTGCTTATACAGGTAAAATTTTGCATAGTTAAAATCTTCATGGATCTATTTTGAGATTTGACAAAGTATTCATGAGCCAGTTTATCTACGCGCACAATCAAGTTCAATGGAGTTGTTCTGAGTAAAATAATGCTAAAATAGCTACATCTAAATTTTCTATAGGATCTTCATGAGTAAAGTGCTTTCAAAACTCTGGGACTACATTTTGAAAACAGATAGGCTCTGACATAAATGGAATCTGAACAACAATAGATCACTCAGGTTTCCCTGATTACGACTGCTCGAATGAATATAAAGGAGACTTTGCTAGTAAGGCGTACTTGACTTGCAACTATGATCAGGAGATCTGAGGATATCAAACACTTCAATTAAAGTAAGAACTTATAGTATTTGGTGTATTTCTTGGCAAAAGGTTATAATTCGAAATGGTATTATTATCTTGTTCATGCCTGATATGGTCAGCATTTATTTAGGAGCAATAGTAAAATTCGCTTGGAGAAATCCCCTCAGAATACAATTTGCCGATATAAGATGGATATGTTGGAGAATAATAGTCCAAGTGAGCTAAAGTTTACAGTCGAGTAAGTTATATTTGTAAAACTTTGGCATTTCACAGCAAAAACCTCCTGCTTATTTTCTCCAAGACTAATTTTAATGGCTGAATAGAAACTTGGAATCTACAAGGCTGGATGTGATAGAGCAGGCATCAAGATTTGGATTTAACTTACTCCAAAGTATAGACTTGAGAGGGTCTGCAGTGATAAATGTGGCTAGATCCAAGAAGATCATAGTAATAGTTGTCCCAAAAGAAAATGGGCATGGATTAGTCCAATTTACTGTTACTAAAAACGTAAGAACATTTATAGACCACCATCATAATATAGGATTTAGGTTCTTCATTTCTAACCACAAAAATAATTCTGATTACAGTTGGCTCTAGTGTGCTCTATTGATGAATCTGAGCATACATTGGTAAAGTTTTAAACATTATTTATAGTATGCAGGATTTCTAAAGTTGAGCTTGATGACAAGCAAACCAACAAAGTGGTACCAGAGTAAGTAATTATTGCATCCTTCAATAGCTGCAGTTATTTTGCTTCAACTGGGCTGGCTCTAAGAGTTTATAAACATTTAGAAACTGAAAAAGAAACCCAATCAGCTCGATTCTTGACGGATCTAATGAATTCGTAAATTACGATCCCCTCTCCTTGCCTGATATTTTAGGAAGAGAGAATCAACAAAGTAAGCCGTGAAGATACTTAATATTTTATCTACAATTGCAAAGGTTTACAGATGCATCACAGTTTCTTCGCTGCTTTAAGCCAAATTCTCAATCTTTCAAAGAATAGGGCAATTGAAAAATAAATGTTATGCTGTTAAGAATAATCATCATTTTCGCATAATTTTATGATAAGAAAACTCCTAAATCTGCTTTTGATAAAAGCAAGGCTTCTTTAGGATTTATTTAACTTCTATCTGCTTGTGACGGTTTTTATAGGAAAATTCCTGAATAATAGAGCTATAATATCAAAGACAAATCGCTGAAAAGTGCCAGGATCAACAAGACCAATTCCAATTTCAACTGGCAGAGATGAAAATCTCAGGCAAAATATATACGAAGCTTAAGGCTTTTTTGGAGTACCATCTATTTTCCATTTCTCATGCATCTAATTAAAAATATGATTTTAATAATATCTAAACTCTCTTTCTATAATTCAAACTTGCTTAGGGGTTTTGGGGTTTTGGGGTTTTGGGGTTTTGGGG